GTATATTATCTTCGGCTTGACATTGTAAACGAAAAATGTAACATACAAATAGACTAAAAGCGATGAAATACAAGAAGAGAACAAACCTCAACATACTAGATTTCTTCTCTTAAAAATACCCTATTGTACTTGAAGAAAGCACCATGAAAACGTGCAACGCAACAGGTCATCGGAAGCGTTTTGCTATTGCTGACATAATCCATGCAGTTAGCCGATTTTGACCTCCGAATTCTTCTCAGGCGCTAAACGTGCGCTGTATCTTATCGGCTGTAGCCTGCCACCATTTTGCCATTCTCTTTTGTCAACTCTACCAAACAACATCTCGACACCACTATCACGGCCGACGACAATGGATCCTGGGCGGGCAGCAATGATTGCCGGCGGCAGCAGTCGGCGGTCTCCCGAACGACGCGACCCCACGGGTCCCCGACGCGACAACCGCACTCGCATCGCGAAGCCTTACTCCCCTGGCCCGTTGCATTCCGGCTCCGGCTACAGCTCCGGCTCCAACTCGAGACAGCCGTATCACGGCAACTCGCGCGATTCCCGGTCTCGACTGAGTGAATCTCGAAACAACGGAAGCGGTCCTGGCGACGCGCGTGGCGGCGGAAAGTACATGACGGAAGAGCAGCTCTCGGAGCGGTTCGTCGCGCAAGAAGACTCGTTTGTGCTCAAGCAGTCCAAGAGCAAGGCCGACATTCGCGTGCGCGAGCGGCGGGCCAAGCCAATCGACCTGCTGGCGTTTAACCTGCGCTTCGTCGACGAGGACCACGACACGTTTGACGACAAGGACACGGACGCCGACATTGAGTATCCGCTGCCCGACGCCGTGATTGCATCGGCCGACGACGCCGCCCTCGAAGAGCTGGAGGCGGACATCAAGTCGTTCCGCACGCTCGAAAAGCGGCGGGCGAACCGCCGGTACTGGCAGGCGGTGCTGGTGCTGGTGCGGGCGGCGCGCGACGAGCGGCGGGAGCGGCGACACGGTGCGCAACAACTGCAGCGGCAGGCGTCCGACGTCGTGCTGACGGACGTGGACAAGATTCTGCACACCAAGACGCTGGCCCAGCTCGAAGAGATGGAGAAGAAGATTGAGGCGAAGCTGCGGTCGGACGAGACGCTGGAGACGGACCACTGGGAGCAGATGCTGAAGCGGTTGCACGTGTGGAAGGCCAAGGCCGAGCTGGCGGTGGTCAACGATGCGTCACGGGCGAAGCGCCTGGCGCTGCGGAAAGAGGTGGCAGCAGCACGGGCAGCGGCGGGGGGTGGCGCAGACGACGACAAGGCCGGAATGGAAGAGAAGGACAGCGACGACGGCGAGCCGTCCACTGCCGTGACCAAGACGACAACCGCCGCTTCTGGTGGGGAGGCCCCGCCCCCCGGCACCGAACGCTTCTCGGCGGTCGCCAGCGAAGACTTCTCGCAGGCCACGCGGGCCCTGTACGAGCGCGAGGTCGCGCGCGGCGTCAGCGAGAACGAGGAGATCTTTGCGGCCGAAGAGGTCGTGCCCACGGCGTCGGCACCCAAGTGGTCGGACAAGTACCGGCCGCGCAAGCCGCGCTACTTCAACCGCGTGCAGATGGGCTACGAGTGGAACAAGTACAACCAGACGCACTACGACCACGACAACCCGCCGCCCAAAGTCGTGCAGGGCTACAAGTTCAACATTTTCTACCCGGAGCTCATCGACAAGACCAAGGCACCGACGTACCACATTACGCGCGAAGGCGGGCGGCGCAAGGGCGAGTCCTTTGCGCCCGCGGGAGAGGAGGACACGTGTCTGATCCGGTTCTCGGCGGGCCCGCCATACGAGGACATTGCATTCCGCATCGTCGACCGGGAATGGGACTACAGCGCCAAGCGGGAGCGTGGCTTCCGGAGCGTGTTTGAGAAGGGCATTTTGCAGCTGCACTTTCAGTTCAAGAAGATTTACTACAGGAAGTAGGCAGCGGGCAGCGGAAAGGGAATGTGTAGATTCTATTGTACTTTAGGTCGTTAGGCATTTTTATGATATCCAGCATTACATATACATAGACACAGCGTTTCTTCGTTTAACCGGTTCGTCGTTTTACCTGCACGTCTCCTTTGCATCTAGCGAAACCCACGGCGGATTGCCCAGCTGCTTGACCATGTTGACAATGGGCAAAAAGACACCGTCGGGCGCGTCCGGGCCTCTTTGCGCCAGCTCCGTCACAAACGACCAGTCCTTCCAGTACCAGCCCTCACATTTGTGCGGTTCAAGGTTCTGTACCGTCAGCGTGACGTTCAGCAGTGGGAGTAGTACAAGGAGAAGCCTGGCTCACCTCCGGCTCCTTTGAGTCGTCATCGCGTAGACACAGCACGAAAATTGTAATGTAGTGCTTGTTGTCGGCAGTAAAGATGTCGTTGGTCACGGACAAGATGCCAAGCGGTGTCACTGCCAGCCCAGTCTCCTCCAGAGCTTCACGCTGGGCACAGGCGGATGGATCCTCGCCAAACTCGAGGTGGCCGCCCGGGAACTGCCATTTTCCGGCGCCGTGTGCACCCTTGCGACGACCGAGGACGAATTGGCCGTTGCGGTTCTTGACAATGGCCGCAACGCCGACGCGGGGGTTCGGTGGAGGCTTTGTGGACATGCTGAAGGGTGGGTGGGTGAGTAATGTTTATGTTGATGTTGAGAGAATAAGAAAGAGGATGGTGTGAAGTTGAGGCTGTGACTCTTAAGGAAAGGCCCGTCTTAGTGTAATCGGCGCTGCAGACGGCGCTGTGGGCCCGAGCGAGACGGAGATAAGCGTCAAGAGCCGTCTACTGCCATCTGCGTCGCCAGTTGTGCTCCCCTTGGACAAGGATACCACGACTCTGTCGATTCAAGTGACTTTAGATCTGATTTACTATTTTTGTTTGATTTACACGGTATTCAAGCTGTCTTTTCGTCGCCTGGTCCCCGCGTCTCTGATATGAAATCGTGCCCTCGCACCATTCAGCATGGCCAAAAAGTAATACCGGATATCCTCCTCTGCCGGCATTGTCGCTTCAATGTCAAAGTTCCGCACGAGAGCCACGACGGCCTTGTACACGATCAGCTCGGCCAGGTAGCGCCCTGGACACGTGCGTGCACCGCCGCCCCATGTCAAGTTTATGCGCTCCATCAGCCGCCGTTGCAAGGGATCCAATTCTTCCTTCCTTTGCGCGTCAAGCCATCGGCCGGGTCGAAACTCGTCGGCATCCTGTCCAAAGACTTGGCGGTTGCGGTGCAGCGCAGGAGGGCTGCACCCCACAATCGTACCCGGTGGCAAGACATGCCCGTGCAGTTCGACCGGCGGACCGTCGGGGACCACGCGCGATAACGACATGCCAATTGCTGGGTGGAGCCGCTGTGCCTCTTTGATGCTGGCTGCAGTAAAGGGCACTTTGGCCATGGCATCGCGGGCAGAGCAGATAGTCTTATTGTTCCCCTTGAGCGCGCGCACCTCGTCGGCTACAGTCTGGAACGCGTCCGGGTGCGAGCCAATCATGGCCACGGCCGCAGTCAATGCCGAGCACATGGTCTCGTGGCCCGCGCCAAAGTTTGTAATGGCCATGCGGCGGAGGTAGGTGTCGTTGAAGTCGGGCTTCGTGCGGTGCAGGTCGATGAGGTCGGCCATGAGGTCGCGGTTGGCTGGTTTGGGTGTCGGAGAAGACTGACCAGCCACCTTTCCCTCCTTTTCCGCCTTTTCCGCCTTCTCTGCCGCCTCCGCCGCGGCTCGCTTTGCTTTCCGCACCCTTGCGGCAACACGCTGTCCCAGGCCCGTGAAGAAGTTGCGGAACCCGGCCCGCGTCTCGTAGCCCAGGCGCCATACGGCTGCAAACGGCCGAATCACCCAGCCGCGGCCGCCACACAGAAACTCGGCGACAACGCAACCAGGGAACAGGCCAAACACGCTCTTGCGGCGCCAGTTATAGTAGCTGGCACTGCTCGACCCAAAGTCGGAGTGTGCTGGCAGGAACTTGGGCGACCAGCCCAGGACAACGGCGCCCAAGCATTCGACGGCCACAATGTGCATCCACTCTTTGAGGTCGACTTCGGCGCCGTTCAACGACCGTAGATCGGCAACTGCTCGGTCCAGCACGCCGTCCACAGCCGAGCCAAACTTGGCCACGTTGGTCTCGTGGTAGACAGGGCCGATGAGGCGTCGTTGCTGGCGGTAGCGCTTCATGTCGCGCTCCGACAGCAAGTCCAAGGTGTCGGGAAAGTTGAGCTCGGACGGCTTCCGCCAGTCCATATCGGGGTGGAATAAGACGGTAGATACTGGTTAAGTCAGTTTGCGTTCTAAAAGGGCTGGATAAGGTGTCGCACGTACAGTAAAAGTCAGACTTATCAAAGCCATGGCTGGGGTCTGTTTATTTAGCGGTCGTTCAACAGTATTGCATACTTTAGGGAACTCACTGTATATCACCCGAAAAGCCTCTTGCGAGTCAAACCACACCTCGTTCGGGGCCACGCGCACGGCCGGGCCATATTTCTTGTGCAGCGTCTTCGCCAGCTGCAGCAACCGACCGTTGCGCACTTGGTATGCGTACCAGACGCGAGAAAGGGCAGCAAATCGGGGCCCGGGAATGCTGGCGAGGGCTCCGGTCACGAGCCGGCGCATAGACGAAGCGGCGACGACAATGAATAGGCCCAGCAGCAAGAGGAGCACGGTGGGCATCGTTTGGCAGCCCCGCCGAGAGTCGTGAGTTGTGTGTGTTGGAGAGTCATGAGAGCTGCAAGCGCTGCAGGGCTGTTGATGCTGTAAATTTGGGCTTCGAAAATCGTTATGCAACTAAGCGCACTAAATGCACAGTAATCAAACAGTGCTCACAACCGCGCTAACTGGCGACTGATTCACTGAAGCTAAGCTTCGCAGCCTCGCAGCTATCGCGACACCAATTGGTCATCACCTTCAACCATCCACCATTCACCGCCACCACGTATGGCCGACACATAGCGCACGCCATGGTCCCTTTGTGGCCACTGCAGTACACCGACCGACGCCGTGAAGATGCGCAAGCTCCTCAGCAAGCCGGCGGGCCTGTCGCAGCAGCACCATGACGGCACAGCGAACTCGAATTCAAACTCGAACTCGAACCTAACCTCGAATGCGGGACACCACGATGACGAGCACATGCGATCACAACATAACCAGCACGGCCACCTTCGTGACCGACCGTCGACATCACCCGTGCCGCTGCTCTATCGCCCCAGCGGGCCCCAGGAGGCCGCGTTCCAGGCAGGCGTGCCAATTGCGGCGCTGGACAAATCACCCGACGGCCGTGCCGCCGTGCTGGCCGGCCGCCATGTCCTGAAGACGGTGCGCATCGAGCGTGGCGACAGCACCGACAGCCACGTCTCTATTCGCGAATCGTTTGATCTGCGCACGCTGATCACGGCGCAGGCGTCCCCGCGGGCCAACGCGACGGCGTCGGTCGCCGAGCAGCTGTCGATCCGCGATGTCAAATGGGGCACGGGCCGCAACGACACGCACATCTTCACCGCCTGTCTGCGCGGAAAGATCTTCCAGTACGATCTGTCGCAGCTGGGTGGCAGCAGCGGAAACGCCGGCGGCAGCATTTCCTTCGTCCAGACGCAAGAGGACTCGCGGCAGATCAACGCCCTCGACATCAACCCCTACAAGGACGCATACCTGCTGTCCGGCAGCCAGGACGGCATGGTGCGCTGCTTCGACACGCGGGCCATTGTGGCGTCGCGCCTCGGCCCCACGTTTCGCCCCATGCAGGCCTTCAAGTGCAACGCCGACGTGCGCGCCGTGCAGTGGTCGCCCAAGCAGGGCTTCTACTTCGCCTGCTGCACCGAGCAGGGTGCCGTCATGAAGTGGGACATTCGCAAGCCATCGGCGCCTGTCCTGCGCATCACCGCGCACGAAAAGGCCTGCTCGTCGCTGTCGTGGCACCCGGACGGCGAGCATCTGCTGACCGGCGGTGTCGACAAGGCGTGCCATGTCTGGGACTTTTCCAACACGGCCGACAAGCGGCAGAAGCCCAAATGGACGCTGCATACGCCGGCATCTGTTGCTGCTGCTGCGTGGCGTCCCGGCCAGTGGTCGGCGACGTGCCAAGGGCTGCGGGCCGCCCAGGTCGCCGTGTCCTACGACGTCAGCGGCCCCAAACGGCCGGGCATCAATGCCGCGCACGTCTGGGACCTGGCCCGTCCGACCATACCCTACAAGACTGTCGAGCGCTTCGAGTGCTCGCCGTCGGCCTTGCTGTGGAAGGACCAGGAGTTCCTATGGACCGCCGGCGAGGATGGCCTGTTTTGCCAGAACGACATGGCCTTTGCGCCGCGCGTCATCGACCGCACGGCCGTCTCGACGCTCGCGTTCTCGTCCACTGGCGACGTGCTGACGTTTCTCGATGAGCGACCGCTGCCGTCGCGACCGCGCGTGCTCGCGTCGGTTCACAAGGACTTGCCGTCCGCCACGGCTGCCGCGGCGGCGGCGGCTGCTCTGTCGTCGTCGCACGGCTCCGACCCGACCTCGCCCGCTCCTGCTCTCAGCATCAGCCGCAGCGACTCTGAGGATGATGTCGTGCGTGGTTTCCTCATGCCACGCCGCCGCAACCTGGGCCGCAAGCGGCGTGCCAGCTCCGTCCACCATCTGGGCTCGACTCCGCCGTCGTCGGGTCACCCTGGCTCCGCCAACAGCAACAATAGCCACAACAGTGGTCGAGAGGGTAGCAGCGGCAGCAACAGCAATAATAACAGCAAGACAAGCACCGGCAACAACAGCTTGACCGTCTCACTCGAATACTCGCTGCGCGCCACTGGTGCGTTCCGGCCGCAGCAGATTATGGCCATTGGCCACATCCCCTCGGCCGCGCGCAAGGACGCCTACGGTTACCTCGCCAAAATCTACTTGGAGACGCTGGAAGAGCGACTGCCCGCCTACGTGCGTCATGGCACGGTTGTCCCACTGCCCGACCGCGTGGCGTCCATTCTCGACACATATGCGCGCGCGGCCGAGAACGTCAGCCACTTCCGCCTGGCGCAGGTCTGGCGCATCATTGCGTTTGCCATGGACCTGCTCTTCCGGAAACGCGCGCAGTACCACAAAGAGCGGCGGCTCGAGGGAGCCACCTACCACACGACTAGGTCGTCAGAAACACACCGTCAACACCAACATCAACATCACCACCACCACAACAGCAGTGACAACACGGACAAAATCAAGATTCGTGGCGAGCGGCTGCCCTCGGGCGACCCTTCTGGCAGCACACTCGAGTCCCTCTCATCCTCCGACGACCATGGCACGTCGACGCTCGTGCCGACAGCCAGCAACAGCCGCACACTGCCTGTCCGCTCGCTTCTCGCCGAAGAGATTGAGAGCACCTCCAACATGCCGACGCCCTTGGCGCGGCCAGTGTCCGGCCAGGCGTACCGGGGTGGCGGCGATCACTATCAGCCAGGCACTGACCATCGGTCGGAATCCGCATCCGCTGCCGACGAAAACAGTGCCAGCAGCTACGACAGTGCGAGCAACGGGCTGCCATCCGACATTGAGAGCTTCAATCTACCACCCGCTCGCTACCGAGACTACCTGACCAACCAGCCACGCCGGCGACACCTCGACTCCATGCCCGTCTCGGAGACCAGCCACGACAGCGAAGTGTCACACATATCGAGCATGGAGGGCTACGATTTCTACGATACAGAGGCCATGGCCAGCGCCATCGACGTACCCGGCGCCACAGCCCGGCCGCCGCCCACGAGTCGCCCGTCCATCACGTCGCTCACAGAGCGCTCACCTGTGCGGCCGCCCGACTTTCACCGACAAGACTCGACCGACAGTGCAGGTGGCCGCATCTTTGAAATTTCGCAGGCTTCGGGGCCGGCACTCGACGAGAGAGACCTCATGGGTGCCGGCGGCAGCAGTCTGGCCACGACGACCACCAGCACCTCTGAGGTCCGTGGCCGCAGTGGTCCTAGTGGCCATGGCCAACAGAACGGCAATGGACGCAGCGGACGTAGCGATAACAACGCGCTGGCCGACGAGTCGTTGAGCCGTTCGCGCGGCCGACACGCCGAGAAGCCGAGACACGACAAAGACAAGGACGTGCTGGCGTCGTCGGCTGCCTCATCATCGCGACTATTGCGCCTGAACAGGGCGCTGCTGTCGATGGAGTTTGGCGGCAGCGGGTCCAACCCGACACTCTCCACGCCCGGCGTCACGCGCGACACATACTACCGCACAAATTCGCAAGATACGGAGAGCAGCAGCAACTCGCTCCTGGGCCCACAGGTTCACCCGAAACAGCCGACAAATTCGTTTACCAGCAAGCGGCCGACCCTGCGGCGCAGCGCCTCGTCGCGGCAAGACAATATGAGCGTCGCCACATCCGACCTTCTCCCCATGGCATATGCGGGCAAGGACGGTGAGGACGGCGAGGACGGCGAGGGCGGTGAGGATAAAGGGGATGCCGACGTCGACACCGACCGCCTCACCGACCGCGACTACCTCCCCTGGCCGCACGACCCTCCGTTCCCTTTTCCCACCAAGGACGGCAAGGCCAGTGGTTTTGACCGCAACGCTGCGCTCAACCCCTACGTCATTGTCGAGCGCGCGCTGGCCTTTGAAGTGCGCACGTCTCCGCTGCACGCGTCCGCCATCGTCTTGCTGCTCGGGCCGCTCGTACCCGACGACGTCATCGATCCCCTGCAGGCGCGTTCCATTCTGCGCCAGCACCACGCCCGGCTCATGGGCATGAAGCTCTTTTTGGAGGCCGCCCTGCTGCGCAATCTGTGCGTTCAAGGCTGGCCGTCGACGACGGGTGCTCCGACGAACAACATTGAGCTGTCCAAATGGGGCGTCCACGCCGACTTTGCGTCGATCGTGGCCCCCGCCAAAAAGAATGTCTCGGCCTCGTACATTTGCGTCACCTGCAAGAAGCCCCGCGAAGTCGACCACAACAGCCCCGGCAGCGGAAGCGGCACCGAGTCGCTGTGGCGGTGCGACCGCTGCAAGACCGTCATGGCGCCCTGTGCGGTGTGCGGCCACCGCGACGTGGCGGCAGTGGACAACCTCACGCGCAACAACAGCAGCGACGACAAGAGCAGGACGTCCTCCGGCGGCGCGCTTTCTACGTGGTGGTACTGTGTCGGCTGCAGCCACGGCGGTCACTTGTCGTGTCTCGAAGAGTGGCACGCGCAGGACGCACCGGCCGGCAGCCCCCGTCTCGGGTCGTTCCCACCGTTCCCCGACGCTGGCACGGGCACCGAGTTTTCAGACGGCTGCTGCCCGCTCGACGGGTGCGGCCATGCGTGTCTCCCCGGCCAGTGGCGGACCGAGACAATTGCGCAGCGGAGCGACGAGGTGGCGTCGCGGGCGGCACACCTGCTGCCGTCGGCGGTGGCGGGCAGCAGTACGCCCCAAACCGACAGGGAGCCGGACGATGCTCCCACACCCGACTCGGGCCGGGTCCGCGCGGACGGCCACGAAGTCGGCCAAAGTCGGGCAGTCGACATGGTGCGGGAGTCGCTGCGAGGGCCGGGCGGTGGAGGCAGTCGCTCCAGCGACACAGCTTCTGGCCGCACAATCCTCAGCTCAAGCCCCGGCCGCAGCTCCGTCTTGGCCGGAAGCGGCGGCAGCGGTGCCAACTATCCTTTGCCCATTGAGCCACGCGAACGTGAACGGCGCAAGAGCGTCAAGTTTGCCGGGACAGACGACCGGACTGGGTGAGTGAACAATGATGTCATTTGGAGAGCGACTGCATTTACCGGAACTTGGGGGGTCACGGAGGGTTGTGATTTGTATTCATGTATTTGTATTTCTCATGTGTTGTACGACGTATTTGTATTCTTTTTGTATTGTATGTGTTATCTTTATTTTATGTTTGTTTAGAAGCCAACGCGGTCCTTGATGACTTGATCAAAATTGCCAATTTTTGCCCACTAGTTTACAAATATTCCAGGCGGCGCGAACAGTCGTTGGCGCTGAGAGAAAGGCCTGGCCCAACTGTGAGCAAAAAGCCCTAGCTGCATTACCGCCTTACTCAGTACAGGGAACCGCTGGGCACCTGGCACTGCCCTGTTGTGGCGCTTTGACGGCATAAGATTACAAGCTACCCCACTGAAACAGCTTAATTTGTCATTCGTTGTTCACGACGGGACTGCTGGGGCAAATAGCGTATGGCGAATACACTCTGTTTCGGCTTGTGCAGTAACCGGTCGAGGCTTGTTGGACCGTTTTGACGTTTGACATTCCTACATACGACGTATATAATCCCCCAGACATGCCCGGATTCGCTGGCAATTGAACATCAAGTCAATCAAGACCGAGCTCGCTTCAGCACAAGCAACCAGCGCACTCCAATTCACCTCAACGAATCGCATCCATCACCAACTCACCTTCATGGGCTTCTCGATCCCCTCGTCCCTCGCCCGCCTCTCTACCCGCTTCCGCTCCTCTTTCCACATGTCTGCCGCCGAGCCCTCTGCTGCCGCGGCCGCTGCTGCCGCGCTGGCGTCCAGCGCTCCCGCAGGCGCCCAGAAGGCGACGGTCGCCGCCGGCTGCTTCTGGGGCGTCGAGCATGAGTACCGCAAGCACTTTGAGGGCAAGGGCCTGTACGATGCGCGCGTCGGCTACATTGGCGGCGACGCTGCCAGCCCGTCGTACCGCGCCGTGTGCAGCGGCAACACGGGCCACGCCGAGGCGACCCAAATTACCTTCGACCCGGCGCAAGTCAGCTACCGGCAGCTGCTCGAGTTCTTCTACAAGATGCACGACCCGACCACGCGCAACCAGCAGGGCAACGACCGCGGCACGCAGTACCGCAGCGGCATCTTTTTCCACGACGCCGAGCAGGAGAAGATTGCGCGCGAGGTGACGGCGCAGGCTAACGAGCAGTGGTGGAAGGGCAAGATTATCACCGAAATCCTGCCGGCGAAGCAGTGGTGGGACGCCGAGGACTACCATCAGCTGTACCTGGTGAACAACCCAGACGGCTACGTGTGCGCGAGCCACTACGTGCGGTCGTTTCCCGCACTGAAGTGACGTGCGGACGCGTTGCGAGGCAGAAAGATGGACATGGGAAACTCAGTTGTTTGTTGGTAATCACGAGGAAAATTGAACATATAGACATAATATCACCACAGTATCTTTGCTTGCGTCAGTATGAATTGAATTGAGATTGTTGTACAGCGTCTGTCGACTGCTAAGCTATTCTATCTGGGCCAAAAAAGCTGCTATGCCTTTCCTCCCCTACTTCCGCCGGTTCTGCTGCATCATCAAAATCTGCACCATGCGGATGAAAATGTTCAAGAAGTCCAGCTCCAGCGAGATGCTCTCGTTGACCGGGTCGCGCTTGATCACGCCGCGCTCTGCAAGCCGCGCGTGGTACAGCACCTTCTGCACGTCGTACAGCGTGAAGCCGCCAAACACCGCCAGGCCGCCCCAGAGCCAAATGTTCTCGGTGAAAGCCAGCGTGCGCACCGCCGTCGCCGGGATGATGAGCGGTGCCAGACCCGACGCCAGCACAATGGCACAGCCAGCCAGCAGCGGGCCGCCCAGGTACAGGTACTTCTCCTGCTTGGCCGTGGCACCGACAATCGACAGCGAGCCCATCATGGCGACGGTGTACAGGCCGGCACGGGCCAGCAGAGCGCCGGGGGCGAAGGCCAGGAGGGGGGCGACAAAGGCAGCCTGCGTGGCGTTGAAGGCCGTCCATAGGGCGTACTTGGGCAGGTAGTTATCCGGGTCGATGGCGCGCGTGCCGATCATGGTACCAAAAGACAGTGCCAATCCACCGATGCCGACCGCCCACGGGTTGGCCGTCATGATGCGGAACACAAAGCCCGACTGGATCATGGCGCGCGCCGACATGGCAATGATGCCGACGCCGAGGCCCGTGTGCAGAAAGGTGTTGTTGAGGTACTCGCGCTCAAACAGCGGCATGCCGCCATCCTCGCGCGTCTCCCGGTTGAAGACCATGTTGACGGCCATCAGCGTGCCGCCAAAGATGGCGCCGCCCACCAGCAGCTTACGCATCGGCGACGCCTGGGCCACCGTCTGATGCGTCTGCTGGTAGTACGACCGCGAGGCACCCGCAAGGCGGGTCAGGAGGGAGGCGGCGGGGGTCGAGGAGGTATTTGTCGAGATCTTTTTTCGCGGCGTTGGCGATGGTCGTCCGCGACGTGAAGAAGCTGTTCTTGACGGCCGACTGGTGGAACGCGCGCATACCCAGTGCCGACGGCGACGCTTTGGCGACTTGAGGCGCCAGGCGCCGCAGTGCGGTCGGGCCCATGGCGGGCGGTAAGACGATCATGGTGTGGTTGTGATGGTTTGTTGATGGATGTAGTGATGGCGATGATGAAAGAGGGCAAAATCGCCGTTCAAAAGCAAAAGGCTCCAAATAGGAACTTTCATCAGCGCATATGCTGATGGCAAAGTGGGAAGGCAAACGCCGCAATGACGTGCAGGCCACAAAAGATACAGCAAATTGGCTGCTTAAGTCATCGGCGCTGTTCACGTGCCAAGGACCTGCGGGGTTAACGCGCCGGAAATAGTCCAAACAGGGCTGCTGCTACTGGAATTACAGTGCAAACAGCGCGAAACAGCACGATTGCCGGGAAAAAACGGCATTTTACTGGACTCCCCAAACCGCCAAGACACTGTGCGATTCGATTCACTGCAGGTTCTAGAAGTGTCCACGATGTCGTCGGGTCGTCGGGTCGTCTCGGCGAAGGCCATCGTTGTGGCATGACATGTTTTCAAAATCACCGAAATGAATGACCATTAAACAGTTGGTTTAAAAATTACGAGAATATTTGAATATTTCAGTGTAAAATTAAGTTGAATTCAAGATTAGACGTACCAAAACAAATCGTAATGGGATAAAGAACAGAAAAAAAAATAAAAAAAAAATTCAATGGCAATTAATAAAAATGTAGTCAGAAGAAAAAGGAACAATAAAGTAAAAACAAAATAAGGAACGCAGTCGCTTATTAGATCGTAACGAAATCATACAAATAATCTGTCTACGGTAACGATATGGAGGAAGATGAACTTAAAGAGATTAAAAATAAAAGATATGAAATACCAGTGAAATACTTCGCTTCGACCATGTACATACGTCATTACGAGTTTTGCATTCACATGGCACCGTAGCCTCAAGTGCTGTTTTTTTCTTTGCACCTCCCCTCGCCGCCCAGATTTCCCTCGTTTTGATCCCTTTGATATTTTCACACTGTGAAGCATTCTCACTCATACAAGTGTCAGATTCAGGTTGCTGCGTGACTCTTTTGTCTCTGCTCCGATGCTCTTACCAGTGGCTAGTATGAGGTTGTCGCGCGGGCTGCCAGACAACCCGCGATGGGGCCAAGACAATTCACTGAGAGTGTCCAACGCTGCGGACTGCTGGCTCCCGGGGCACAGACCCAAGAACGAGCAGACGCCGCTTGCCTGGTATCCTGCGATGGTCGGCCAGTATTTCTGTGGCAAAGACTTGTTGCTGTCAGGAAAGGATAATTAATTGACTTATCAAAGATGCCTTTATCTACGAGACCGAGGCTGCCCATGGCAAGCTGTAACTCACTTGGCCGAGCCAGCATTATCGATTATGAACCATAGACAGGATCACCGACGGCAACAGTTCAGAAACAGGACGTCAACCAAGCTGACATTTACCCTCACAAAAGTACTTCATCACAATGGGCGTCGTCCTGTCTCGTTTCCGCCGGCTCGTTGGTCGTCGTTATGCGCCGACCGAGACTGTGCCGGGGCAGTCCATAACTTCCGCCGCCAAGTCCGCCGCGTCGTCCGAGTCAAGATCACCGGAGCCGTCACCACCACCAATTCACATTGCCATTGTCGGAGCCGGCATTGGCGGTCTATCCCTGGCCGTGGGCTGTCTCCGCAACAATGTGACCTTTACCATATACGAGTCCGCCGCGCAGTACAGCGTCATCGGCGCCGGCGTCGGTCTTGGCCCGAACGCCCTCCGGGCCCTGCATCTCATCAGCCCCGAGCTGCGGGCCCTCTACGACACCATTTCCTCGGGCAACCTGTCGGAGGAGAAGCTCCACGTGGCGATGGAGGCCATGTATGCGGAGCCTGGGTTTGGCGAGACGCGCGGATGGACACCTCAACCTTTTGGCGCCAAGTGCTACGAGCGGACCAGCGCACATCGCCGCGACCTGTTGAATATCCTCACCGGCAAAATCCCAGACAATGCCGTGCAGTTCAACAAGCGCGTGACGGACATCCAGCAGCTTGTAAACGAAGGTCGGTGTGTCCTGTCCTTTTCAGACGGCACGAAGGCGACGGCTACGGCTGTCATTGGCTGTGACGGCGTCAAGGGGACCTCGCGCGGATTTGTCTTGGCTCCGGCTGGCTACCCCGGGGAAGTCGCTCCCGTCTTTAGCGGTAAGTACGCCTACCGCTCGATCGTGCCCATGGCCACAGCTCAGGCCGTGCTCGGCGCAGAGTATGCCGGTGATGCCAAGTGCTTCAACGGGCCGGGTGTCAACATCATGACGTATCCCATCTCGTCCGGCACCGAATGCAACATAGTCGCGTGTCGCTTTGTGGATGGGCCGTGGACACACCCGCAGTGGACCCACCGTGTTCCTCTGGAGACGATCCGCACGGATTTCCCCAACGTCGACGATCGTCTCGTCAAGCTCATCGAATGTGCCGAGCCTGTGCAGTGGGCGCTCCACCATCACATCCAGACATCCACATACTACTATGGCCTGCTCTGCCTTCTCGGCGACTCGGCCCACGCCACAACGCCGCACCAGGCCTCGGGCGCCGGTATGAGCATCGAAGACGCCCTGATCCTCTCTCACGTGCTCGGTCGCGTGGATCGCTGGCAGGATCTCGAGGCAGCGTTTGCGGCCTACGATGCGGTGCGGCGGCCACGCGCCCAGGGCGTCGTGCAGACAAGCCAAGAACTGGGCGCCATGTATGCCTGCTCGGACCCGCGTTACGGCGACGACATGGGCAAGATCGTCGAGAACCTCAACGTGCGCTTCCTGTGGATTTGGGAGCACGACTTGACAGCTGACATGGAAACTGTTTGTCAGTTGTTTCGGGAAAAGAAGGAAAGCCAGGAGAAGCTGTCAAAGGGCAGAGGCGACTTGTAAATAACATTAGAATTGAATAGCTGTCCACGTCCCGGAAAGCCTTACAATGTGTTTTATTGTGTATGTATGCAAGGGAAGATGTTGTCATGTAATATTTCACGGTACTTTTTCAAGGCGGTTGATCTCAGTAATTAAAGTATCTGAGAAATGCTACTGTCTACGTAATTGTGGCAGCTATCAATTTGTACCCGTGACACTGATTCTGGTCGAAATGGACGAACCCATCACCTGTGGCGCTACATGCCACAACGTCTACTGACGCCTTTTCCAGAAAGCGAGAACACCCCCCCTTTCGCGGATAGCTTGCCCTTTGAGCATGAACGGAAGGATGCACAGCGGAAAGAAGGCAACCGGCAACAGGGCATACACAATGTAGGGTACCTTGGCACCGCCCTTCTTGGCGATCCAGAGCGGCGTGAAAAAGGGCGGCGGGAAGCACATGAGGTTCAGGAAGAACTGGAAGACGATGGTACACTCGACCGCACGGTCCCGGTAGCACTCGGTCATGTACGCAAGAAGCACGGTGACGACAATCTCCTGGCCAAACACAAAAAGGCCCAGCCCGACGAGGGGCACTGCCCACTGCGACGTCTGCACGTATTCGAGCGTGAAGCCGTAGACAAGCAGGCCTGCAAACGTGGTGAAGAGGCCGGAGAGGAACAGCTTGAGCAGCTTCTCGGGCACCCACGCGACGCCGCTGCGCAGACTGCGCTTGGCGGTCATGTCACAGAGCGGACCGGCACAGACCTCGCCGAGGGAGGAGCCAATCAGGCCGGCGAAGAAGCAGTAGCCCACCTGGGCGACGGAAAAATCGAACCGCGTGCCAGAGCCAAAGTTGAGACTGAGGCCGGCCGTGTTGGCCACCTCGGTCATGATGCAAGTAGAGGCCCAGAAGCACGGCAGAACGACGGCGGGGTATGCGAACATGGAGAACGGCATGCGGAACGTGGCAGCCCATGTCTCGCCCGGTGCAGGCTTTGGGGTGCGGAAACCAAGGCGGCGGTACAACGTCGCTTTGGCCTCGGGGGGCTCGGCAGCAGCGACGTCCTTGTCGTAGATGGTTTCCGGCACGAGAAGGCACTGCAAAACCAGCTGCACGGCGTAGCAGATGGCGGCAATGTACATGGCCCAGCGCCAGCCGAGGTGCTTGTTCTGCTGGATTGCACCACCTGCCACACCGCCAATGTACGGAGCAACCACAAAGAGCATGCCGTTCAGCCCCAGACGGGTGCCTTTTTCGTGCAAGAAGAACATGTCAGAAATGGCCGCCGTGCTGATGCAGAGACCTGCGCTGCCACCAAAGCCCATCAGCATGCGGCAGCCAAGCGCCTGCGAGTACGACTGGGCACGGCCGACGCCAATGGCGGCCAACAACGCGACCAAGTGGCTGGCTAGCAAGACCGGGCGACGACCGAGGCGGTGACTGAGCGGGATCCACAAGAACGGGGCGAAGGCGTAGAGCACCGACGGGGCGGACCCAATGTACGAAGCCGTAGACGCAGCTGTGCCGAACTGGGCGGCGAGCGTGTGGGCACCAGGGGCCTAAAGGTACAGTAAGCCACCAGTGTTAGGCACGGCATGTTAGACGACAAAAATAGAGTGTCATCCGGGGTGCTGTGACGCACAATGACGGTATTGGAAAACTTGATGATCAGTGACTCCATGGCCAGCACGACAAGGGCGGCATGTTTGCGGAGCGGGCTCCAGTTCTGTGTGTTACAGGTAAGGAGACGCCGTGTTAGTTTCTCGGGTCCCTGGCTCCGGCAAACTGAAAGCAGTTGGAGTTGTGATTTGGCCTCTTACCAGCGGGTCTTCTGGGTCATCGCTGGGCTGTGGATGCAGCGGGATGCCGTCCTTGGTGGCCTTGAGGAACACGGGCTCTGGCTTGTCGTGCTTCTCGGAGCGAAAGTCCTCGGAGGAGGGCTGCTCCTGGATATCTATGGCTCCGGGTTGGCCCATTTTCTGGTCGACAGGTAACAAAGACTCAGGTGGTGAACATAAAAAAAAGTAGAGGATCCCAAAACTTTGTGCGCATGGAATCCGTGTCCAACTACTCATATTTACCCCAGACATCACTCGACATGGCCTCCTTTATATCATCATCGCTGTGCCCTCATCCTGTCAAGGTTGTGTCGCCGACCTTGACTTGACTTGCTGGTCCAGATACCAAACAGGTGCA